GCGATCTCGGCTCACCGCAACCTCCGCCTCCTGGGTTCAGGCAATTCTCCTGCCTCAGCCTCCTGAGTAGCTGGGATTACAGGCACGCACCACCATGCCCAGCTAATTTTTTGTATTTTTGGTAGAGATGGGGTTTCACCATGTTGACCAGGACGGTCTTGATCTCTTGACCTCGTAATCCACCCGCCTTGGCCTCCCAAAGTGCTGGGATTACAGGCTTGAGCCACCGCGCCCGGCCTCATTTTCTTATTCTTTTAGCAGCTTCTTCTAGTTCTTAAATCTATATCCTAAACCAAAAATAGTAACATAAGCTTATGTTTTCCATTTTCAATGCTATCTATTGACTTCTTGCTATGCAGAGAGGATTTAAGCTCACATCACCCTCATGTCTTACCACCTTTTCATCCCAACACAGATACATCACTACTTTTAGTTGTTCTACTGATCCCTTAGTAACTTGAATTCTATCTTAATTTCTTATTTCATCAAAAATAAACAATCTATCTTGCCTCTCTTCTTTGTAAAATGAGGGTATCAGCACCCGTATGCTTCCCTTTATTTCTTCTTTCCTCTCTCACTTCGCAATTTGTCATTTGTATTCTCACATTTTTCAAGACTGAAATTAAGTATTCTGTATTTTAATCACAGGTTGTCAACTTTTTTTAAAAAAAGCATTAACATTAACTATTATGACATTGTAAATGCTACTCATACAAAGTGAATAATATATCCTGTCTTGTGCAGTTTATTGGTTTCGTGTTTCTTCCCTCTGATGTTTCTAATTGTCTCTCTCTTTTTTTATGACACTGTTAGGTAAGCATAACTCCGACAGTACCCAAAGACTTCTATGTAAAAGCCATTGCCTTTCTAAACTTAAACCCATTATGCATTAATATAGAGAAGGAGAATAAAAAAAGCCAAGACAGAAAAAAAAAAGCAATATAAACTTTAAATATAGCAAAATGCGGCAAGGATTTGCATGTAATAATATGGGTACAAAACAATTGATTATATAAATTAGCTATTATGAAAATTCTTGTATATGAAAAGTGCTTCAGAATAAATTTCAAAATGCCAAATATAATGATGTATGCAAAAAATTACAACCATGCAAATACACTGTATCATATGATTCGCCAAGTCAGATCAAAACCAAACAAACTATGTTTTTTTTTAAAGAAACCAAATGCCACCCCTCTACCTCAACCCAACCTCCAGCGCTGTCTTAAATTAAGACAGAAAAACAAGTGGAAAACAATTTAAACAAACCAAACTCTCCTCCATGCCTACTGTTGGATAGGATAAACAGAAAACCCTGCTTAATTATGTTACGATGATATACATCAAAAAGATTAAGACACTTAAGGGTTTATAGTTTCATGAATCCCTGAACTGCCAGCCATTTTGCAGAGGATAATTTTTTAAATCACTGAAAATCATGTGCCCAGGCAAGAAAGAATGACAGCTTACTTTACATCAAATCATTACAAGATCAGTTTTCAAATAAGCATATATATTTTCATAAATTTCATATCCTTTTTTTTTTGAAATGGAGTCTCCCTCTGTTGCCCAGGGTGGAGTGCAGTGGCACAATCTTGGCTCACTGTAACCTCTGTCTCCTGGGTTCAAGCCATTCTCCTGCCTCAGCCTCCTGAGTAGCTGGGGCTACAGGTGTATGCCACAACATGTACTAATTTTTGTAATTTTAGTAGAGACGGGGGTTTTACCATGTTGGTCAGGCTGGTCTCCAACTCCTGACCTTGTGATCCTCCCGCCTTGGCCTCCCAAAGTGCTGGGATTACAGGCGTGAGCCACAGTGCCCGGCCAATTTCATAGCCATTTTTAACTCCTCTAAATTAGTCTATCCTCTGGGGAGAAGAATCAAAAGGGAACAAAAGGACATTAATGGTATAAGTTCATTAAGGGGAAAAAAAAACTAATTATATTAACTCACTGGCAAAAACAGCACTGAGAAAAAATCGTGGCTAATAGAGCTAACGTTGTTTAAACTCTAAGATAAATGTTAACAATTTTATTCAGTGAGTAATTATCACTAAATATATCCTAAATACCTTTCGACTTCTTTCTGCTGCTTTTTCATCTGCAGTGATGTGAGTACGGCACCTAGATAAAGACAGGATTTTTCAGTGTCTTACTGAAATTTAATAAATAATCTAATCATAGTTACAACAAAACCATCCGAAATTACCAGTTTCTTTTTCCCAAAGTGTGATTATGGCCACATTATTTATTTGACATTATACATTTTCCCTAAAAGTGTCCAGATAGTCACTAAAACTGCAATTATTTTGTATGATCATGAAATATATAATACAAAAACCATATAAACAAATTTAAAGTTCATCCTTTAGTATCCATGGAACACTAGTTCCAAAACTTCCAGCAGACACTAAAATTCACAGATGCTCAAATCCCTAATATAAAATGGTATAGTATTTGCATATACTGTAACATAAGCACCTCCTCCTGTGTACTTTAAATCATCCCTATATTACTTCTAATACCTTAGTACAACATAACAACTAAGTAAATAGCTGTTATACTGTATTGTTTGGGGAATAATGACATGAAAATAAAGTCTATACAGGTTCAATACAGACACAATTTTTCTTCTTCCATATATTTCCAACCCACAGTTGGGTCAATCTACAAACACAAGTTTTCTGTTATTTGTGGATACATGCTTTTCCATTATACACTTGGTCCTCCCAACTGTGAAGGAGGAGTAAGTGTATAATGAACACCCACGTATGAACAATCCAACTTGAAAAATATTACATCTCAAAATATAGAAGTTTCTATGAGCAGTCTCTATTCAATCACATTCCCCTCCTTCCTTCTCAAAATCAAATATTCCAAGACAGAGTTTACCATGCACATCTTTATAAGTTTTACTAGAAATTTATATACATAGCAAATACTTGCTTCATCGTCTGAGTATGCCTTTTCACTGTTTTCATGGTGTTCTAACAGCATTTTTAAATACTTTTAACCTTTATTTTAAATTAAATTTAAATAATTAATTTAAACAAATCTAATTTTATCTTTAATTTTTTTTTTTTTTTTTTT